CTATTTTCTCGCAACATTTTTTATCCCGGATCAATTAGAGTCAAGTCCTGTGAATTCGGGGAGCAGAAGATGAGGTGCTGGCTACAGAAAACAATGTCTGTGGTTAAAATTTCTGCAATTCTGCTAAGCGGTTCAGTTTTTCAGGGTTTTTGGGGTATAAGTGTAAGTCACGTGCCGACCGAATCACGTCCTGGCCATGTTGCGATGCTCGCCGGTTTCTTTGAGGATGTCAGTGCTGTTAGCAGAGGCTGGAAACATAATCCAGTCCCATTTGACAGCATCATCAATAGGTAAAAGATTGTCCGAAGCGAGTGCTTGTTTCCCGTCACACTCACCTCTGCGCTTTTCATTTCCACGAACAGCCTGGTTGAAGGCATTCTTTTTTCTGTTCAGTGTATGCTTGAAAAGCGGGCTCTTCGGGGTATATCTTGGATGGAGCAGTACCAAACGACTTATAGAACCCCCCTTGGTTTCTTAGTTCCGAATGAATTGGGGGAAAACGTAGCAGCTCTCCTCTATCATTTCCAGCATTTTCGTTTACGTTAAATGGCTAGTCAGTACCATCTGGCGCTGTGTTTGTTATCTGAAGGATACTGCTTTTTTAGATCAGCGATAACGTGGGCATTTGGCAGCCCGGACATTGTACCGATATTCACAAGTGGAGTGAGGCATGCCAGCGCCAAAACGTATTCGGCTGATTTGGAAGACTTTCAGCAGGAAGATGCCGCACAACTCGATCGATGGGTGTTCCAAAAAATGGAAGCAAGTTCCCACTGTCTTCTTTTTTTGCACTCCCATGCACTGTTTTCATGTGTTTTTGTATCATTTTACAAATGAAATCACACTATGGCAGGGTAATATCAGTGCGCTTATGTGCCCAGCGGACTAGATAATTTTTCCTTAAAACTGCGAAAGTCAAAGAGCTAAAATTGTGGTGATTTACGAGGTCACAGTTCTGGAATAAACTTATTTCTCATTTGCTCGCTCAGTCTTCTTCCTAATGCCCAAATTTAGTTTGATTTTTCGAGTGAAAATCGCACAGATTTTTCGAGTTAAGTTTGGTTAATTCGTTTTATTTTGACTACAGGCAAACGTAAGATT